GAAGATGAAGATAATACAACCCAAAATGTAACGAATATGAGTGCAACTAAGTCTTTAAGACATTATTTACGATAGGATCAAGTTTTATCATTTGCACATGGATGCATTTTAAAGGTATAGCAGACGATTTACCAAATAACTGTGGCATATGTACCTATTTATCTAAGTAAAAAGGTCTAGCCTTTTTATATGGAAATCACATCTATAACAGAATGTGTTGAAGAAAGTTCAGGATTTGTTACCTAATACTATTTTAGATGATATTAAAATCAATATAATATTTTTGTTTACCACGAGGGAGTTCCTAAAGTTGTCGGCTGTTCTACTAAAATTATTTTTCTAATTGGTTCTCTGATTGTCTTTTTGCACTGGAATAGGTTCTTTGTTTCCAGTAGTCTTAATATTGCATTGTTACTATCTCAAATAACTTAACCTTGAATCGATCACCTTTCATATTATCTGGGCTTTAGATGTGAATGGCATTACGTAAAACATTTTCGTTCCAAGACTCGTGTACTAAAAGTTTAGACGTAGAAGTAGCAATATAATATGATTTAATATTTTACAAAACTTCTGGTTTAGCTCACGTAAAATATATTGAAGATTTTAAAGTCTTCTTACATAACTCTCTCTTTTTAACTTTTAACAATTTGCGGTAATAAATCATGGCATAAAATATCTTCGTACACGAAGACTGAATCTTCAAAGTCAAAATCAGTAGAGAATTGGCTACAGAAGATAAACTTATCTTAGGTTTAGAGAATAACAATCAATAGTTAACGTTTTTTATCGGTAACATTCAAAGATGTTTTAAATCAATCTACGACATTTGTAACGAAATAGAGCGCTAACTACTAAGCCGTTAAAGCTTACGAAACTAATTTATTTTAAGCGAATCTGTGGCGGCTAAGTTTAGATTGCATTGAATTCAATCATTTACTTTATTACTCAACTTTTTACTGTGGCTTCGGCCACGTGAAGTTTGTAATCCAAATATACTTCCACCCCTCTTTTCATTCCTTTACAGAACGTAAAAAGCACGAAAGCCGTAGTTAATTATATTTTACTGAAAATAATTTAACTTATATTTCTGATAATTCTGCCGAAGGTAAAACAGCATACAAACTTTGGCCAACCTCTTAGGACAATTTTACGAACGTTTCTTTTTTCGCGTCTACATAATATAAGAAACTTCCATATATATTTTTATGTCTGTAGGTAAATTGGTTTGGGCGATCCGTTGATTGTAGAGTAGAGTAGAGTCAGTCAGCTTACTCTTTTCACGATTCTCTATACACGATTGTTGTGTCATTGGTAAAGGTGACAGGCCGTGACCGAAACCTTATAAAGAATGTTTAAAGATTTTCAAGCCACTCCGGTCTAATAACATGATGTCCTTCAACTGTGTCTATGTAATAGTTGGGAGCTAATAATTCCATTAAATTTATTATAAATGTAGAACAAGGCTCCGGTTGTAAAGAGCTTTTATTATTAAATGAAACTAAAATATCTCGCAAGCGGTTAACTCGTGTCTTATATTTTTAAATATTTGGGTTTATTATACTCGTAAAATTACTCATCACTCTTAATTAGATGTTACAACATGGGATAAAATGTAATAGTAACGAAAGGGACAAATTATTAATTAAATACACATTCACATACATACATATTTATGTAAAAAGATAATTTGTGTATCTTAGATCGGCTTGTTTGTTACTTTTATATAAGTTTGGGTATCTTTATTTTTTTTTTCATTTAATTGCGTATATTTATAGTGATATTCATTTAGAACGCGCCGTCGATGTGAACGAACTTTTTATGGTGCTAAATACGTGACTTAATTAGGTTTCATGACATTCGAATTGATATCATTGTACATTCAATGTCAACAATATAATGAGACAATTTACTGCGATAACTGAGTCGAATCGCTCGACCGTGCGTGGATGCGGCTCGCGCACAATATTTTGTTTTTATTATGATGTTTAGGAAAAAATGTTGAAACAGTCGGTATAAATAGATGTTATAAACAGTTTTACACAATTACAACTGAAAAAAATAATAATTTTGGTTTAATTTTTAAATAAGATTTAGCATTTCAACGTCTTTTACTTCAAAAATGAGGAGGTTCTCTATTAGACTGTTTTTTTTATATCTTAGTTGGCTGTCACTAGCCAGTAGGGTTTGCTTTTCGTAAAATTCTTATCTTGATGTAATTGCTTTTAACGTACACTAAGGCAAAGATGCTTTTATGTGATTTTAAAAGCTATAAATCAGAAACTTAATAATGTTTGCTTAAAACAACTGGAAACAATAAAAAAACTGGGAGTCTTCGTAAATACTGAGTAAAAGAACGTTTAAAATTTATTTGTTCCTTTGTAAGCGTAAATATCAAAATGTAATGCGTAATCGAAGTGCCGTCGTGACGTAAACAGCACGAACCAGTCGAAGTGCGTTATGTTTACAACAGTGAAAGTGGTCGAACCGGTGACCGACGCGACTTTGCTTTTGGTCACAGTGTATATGAACCAGTAGACCAATTCAGCAAATTTTACTGTTAGCTAGAGTCGTTTGCACAAATAGCTGAGCGCATTTAGCTATTTACAAAATGTTTTTTGACGTCGTATTATTATAGCTTTTACTTCTTACGGCTTATGATTACTTCTTCAGCTTTTATTTGACGTTGACGAGATCTTTTTACGGCTTCTTATGTATATTCATATCTTTGATATCTATAAATAACTCATATAGCCATATCATATATATAAAACTATGTTAATGCACAATGTGTGATGTGACGTGTACGTGTACGTGTTGTTTCCATTAATTATTTGGATTCCTCTTTAGCTAAAATAGGTCATAAGTTGCTCTTTATATTTCGTCTTAAAGCCCTACATGTTGCGGTTATATGAATAATTAACAGTTGCGATACAACGACAAAGTTAAGAAAGTTTACGCAAATTATTTTGTTTCTTATTACGTCGTTGTAAATATATAATTACGTATGACTTCAGCAAGCGGAAACATTCTAAGCGATGCCTTTTTGCGTGTGAAATGTGCTCATCCAAAGTCCGGTTGTGCTGAGTGGCCGGCGGTCATTGAACGAACGCCCACATTATGTGTTATTTGATTTATATTATTTCCTCTTTGAGTGAAGGCTTTATAACCGAAACGTTTTCCATCTCGAGTGGTTTTGCTGTTAAAAATACACTATGTTTTTGATGTTTTCTTTTATGTACCGTACATATGGAAATAATCTTTATTACGTTGTAAGTTCTGGAGGGACATTTTATAGTCGTTTCACAGTGTACTAACAATTTGACGTTTGCTCATTGTTACTTATAAATAACTAAAGACTACATTGGTCTTCTGAATAAGCCTGTCTAGATAACTGCCTTTGTAAATACCACTGCTCGTCAAGTTGGCTACGTGTAGAATTGGTAAAGCGATCACAGCGGGCCACCTGCCTTGCGCAACGGGACGTAGAAATAAATTTACCCGCTGTAGACTTACGAAACCCTCGCGCGTCACAAGCCACCTCGGATTAACAAGTGTTGCTAGAAATACAAACAAATTAATTGGGTTTAGGTCAAGAGGGTTGTGTTTGTAATGGAATTGAATGGGTGGGAAATCAAATAACATAACCCTGTTTTTACTTCTTGCTTATATTAGGATTAAAATATTTATAGATTTGGACAAGTACATTTATTGTTGTTGATTATAGTTGAACGTATTTGAACCGAATTATTGACCATTGTACCTAAGTATTAAATAAAAATTATTTTATTTTTAATGCAATAAAATTCTGAAAGGTAACGAGCTTACTTTTTCACAACTCTACATGTAGCACGTGTTATTGCGCGTGGTAAATTTTAACTTTTAAATCTATTTTCCATAAGTATTAGCGTACGTAAGAATAACTTCATATCTTGTAACTGATTGTTGTTTTAACTGAAGACCTTCGCCCTTCCGTGAGTTGTTTATGAATATCATTATTTTTAAATCGAACTAAGGTCTTTAAATAACTGCCGATGGAAGGCGCCCTCGACCATTTGAGACGTCATACAAGAGACGTACTATTAAGCCCTCCGTACGCAAGTGATGGAAATCGACACTGGGCGATTTTAGTGACGTAAGTAAGTAACGAGTTAGCAATACAATCTCATAGAGTTTAAAAAAAACGCTTCGTCGCTATCTGTTATCGTCAAAGCTAGTTTTCCGCTAACTGTTTGCCAAGAACGTCGTAAGAGACGTCGATGTCTGTATCGACCATTGGGTGTACGGAGTGCGTGCAACATGGTGCTCCCGACGCAAGGATTACAATATTTGTTTGGCAGATTTACGTTGCTTAGTGTACGTTACTTGATTTCTTATACATTTCTTGTTTTTTTATATAGTAGGGGGACTCAAATGGATTACTGATCTAGGAAAATTCTTATATCTATGAAATTATAAGACGATTAAAAGATGTGAAAGCGAAACAGCATATCATTTTCATTAATTCATGAAGTAGTCAATTAATTCAATAGTAAGCTAACAGGTTCAACATTCCAGACTATGTTTGAGGAAAAAGATTGCCACAAATACTTCCATTCGCATTACCAGGAACTATTGATATGTGTATATGTTTTCTTTAATGATTCACAAGATGAAATACCCCAGTTACATCTACATCAAATTGAAAACATTTTAAGTGATCGCATTTTTAAAAATAAACATGTTAGTGTTTCTTTAGGACAGGGGAAAACATATTATGTTATGAATTCAAGAAATCGTTGAAATTACTCATAATATCATCGGCAATATTTAAATATTTTTATCATATTGAATAAGGATTTTTAGAAAATTTATCGCCATAAATATAATATGGTTCTTTCATTATTTATTTCTATCAGTCTTAGAAATTTGTTAGTTTCAGTATAGTTATAAGACTCACAAAGTTCATAAATGGAGGTGTGGTGTTAACTATATTATATGATTAAAATTATTTGTTACAGGTACTGGAACATTCGGGCGTGTATGCCTGTGCCGGGACAAGGCGGCAGACGAATACCTGGCGATGAAGATCCTGTCTATGGCCGATGTCATCCGCCTCAAGCAAGTCGATCACGTCATGAACGAGAAAAACATACTCGCAGAAATTAATCATCCCTTTGTTGTTAATCTGTGAGTACCCCTTTGAGTTATCTACAATTCAATATATTTGGAAGTCGTTGTAAGGTGAAAAGTAAAAAGACATATTCTAAATGAAAAGTTATATATATTTTCGTCACTTACATTGTCACGTGTAGCATTATTTGGGGATCATGATAGCCTTAGAATAGGTATTGCTGAATAAGTAAATAATACTTTGATTGTTGGTGTTTGTAAGAGTCGTGGTAATGTTATTTCAATAGAATACTATGAATGTTTGTTGTGATTGCAACATGTCACGCTGAGCACGTGTCACGTCAGTCGTGCGTGTTTGTGGTGTGCCGTGTGCGCAGGAAGCGCCGGCGCGACGCCAAACATTTCTATTTTGTATATTTGTTATGTCTACCATCGAACATGTCAAATGATAGCTAGAGTACTTATCATTTATATTAAATGATTATACCATCAATATGAATAAAACTCAATGTTTGCCACCACCGCTAAACCAGCGGACAGGTATTGATGATACTTTGGTAATGTATTCACGTTTTGCGTCCTTAAAAATGTTTATAACTACGTATTAAGTTTGAGAATCACTATGGAAATCTTATGAATATAATTTCACTTGGAAACTAAGACAAGGGAGTAAGATTTGTGATATTCGAGTGCAGTATTTCAACGAATGGACATCTTGCGAGTGTGACTATCAGAGCTGTCGCGTGTCGCTGACAGCAGGCTGGCACACGTCCGCGACAAGCTTTGTACCACAGACATGTATTTATTGGCGTATTGACAGCTCTACTGTAGCAAAGTCACATCATATTATTTCATACTTGTAGACAGCTTTGCTAAACACAATATTTAACTGGATATAACTTTATTTTCGTTTATTTGCTGTTAAGTACGTGACAACTGTTCTTCATATATCGTTCATACCTATACTATGTCGTCCTGTATTGTTTGCTACAGCTTCAACTAAGCTTTAAATTACTTTTAATTGAAAGTTATTTTAAGTTGGTTTTTTTAAAGGATACAAAATTTATATTTGATAAATAATTGAAATTGAAAACACGTTGCATTATCACCATTATAATTGATGACGTCTGTTATAAGTATGGAAGATTAAGTTCAATATTTATTTAGCACTTACAATGCCATCGACTTGGCTTGCGAGTTTACCTAGTGTTAGATGCATTCAATGTGTTAATGTAATATATTCGTTTGTGGCAGGCGATGGTGGACTCATGATGACTCCTGCCTGTACATGCTGTTCGAGTACGTATGCGGCGGTGAGCTGTTCTCCTACCTGAGGAACGCGGGCAGATTCAGTAATAGCATCGGTATGTTCACATTATTATTCTTGTAAACTTAGCCTATATTCACTAAAAAGTTTGGACGTCGTCCTTCAAACATTAATCAGCAGTTAATCTGAGAATATTTGGAGTAGGTGAGGAATTGAAGATTAAGAATAATATTTTGAGAAATTAAAAATATATATTTAAAATATTTCACTATCTAATATGTAAATTAAAACATTTATTTAACATAAATGAATGCATTTAATTTATGTTATGCACATATTTATTGTAATATAAATAAACATTCGATAAAAGTTGTTTATAGATAAATAATAAACTTTTTATACAACTGGATTTGTCTCTATTATGTTGCATCTAGGTGGACTACATTCGTTGGATTAATAATTATTAAATTATAAAAGATATTTAGCGTTTCGACGTACAATAAATCTATTAATTTTTATATATTGGTATATTTTAAAACATTTCAAATACATAAATCAAATGCGCGTCCAATTTCTCTGCGCACGGTGATTTATTTAGCGACGCGATAGTTTTCAGGCGGTGCCAAGTGAGCGCGATTTGTCCAGCGAACACTTTATTCTGGTAACATTGGACTACATGTATTTGGCTCCGAGTTGTGTTTTCATCAAATAATTGTTAGAAAACTTTTTTTAAACTCACGTCGAAGCTTATCTTTGTCTGTAATAAAAATTGAATTATACTTTTTTATAACAAAGAAACTACGTTTATTATAATTTACGATCTCGTTATGAGATTACTACACTTTGATAGTTTGATTATTATTGTTTTTATACGTCTCTAAAATATCGGTAACATGAACAGAAGCAGCTGAAATTTCTGATTTGAAAATAAATTTTACGATGTTAAAACAATCGAGATTGAATATTGGGCACTTCGTGAATCTTACGTAAGTTGATATAGGACTAACATGCGAGTAACAGTTTATGAACAAAAGATCACCTTTGTAAATACTATAATTTGTTATTCCGATATTGAACTGACCACATCCTAATGATATACGAATTCCAGTCCGAAAAAACAAAGCGTACAGTATAAAATCGGTACCAAAACAAAAATCTTTACGATGAAATTATATTTAAAATAAAAATTCTGTTCGAGTGTTTAATTTTCTAGTCATTAATGTATAATTTACAATACAACAAGCAATTATTTTATAATTAATCGAGCAACAGAACTTCATTTTGATATAAACCAGATACTAGTTTAACCTGTCCTTTTCGATAAGTGATTTAGGCGAGCAAACATTATTAATTTTCGCGTAAATCTACTCGAGATGGTATTTCTGGAGAAAGGACATAGAGACCGAAATAGACGGTCAATGACGCGCTGGCGGAGACTGGTCGGCTTCTGTGTCGAGCGTTGCTGTTAATGTGTCAAATTGCAAACTCACTTTGGTATATCATAACAGATACACGTTAATATTATTAACTGAAAAGCCGGCCGTGCCAGACGAAGCGACGCCTACTTCTCGTTCAAACTGCGCTATTTTTCAGTCGTTACCCACCAAATTTTATTCCATCTGGTTTTTACTGTTGTATCAATTCATGCCGGTCATTAAACACGATTATGGCTTTTTTACTGATATTTCATTTTGTATAAATACGACGTATTTTAACGCATTCATTCTATTGAACCGAATAGTTGATGAAATCGCCTTAAGGAATGCCAGTACCGTAGAGTGGACACAGTGCAATGCATCAACATAACTGTTGTTTACTAACTGCAGTATTACGCATAACTCATCAGTAGCTGAGGTGCAATAATAATTGCATTATATTGCTCTTGATTTTTTTGTAAGGATAATTCAGGTCATACAATCGGTATGCATTCCAGATAAATTCACTATATATTAATGTCCTTTCCTGACATTTGTTAGCATTTGGAATGCGGCTCCTTGTGTTTAAAAGCATTGAGGCAATTTATATCTTGTACTCTAGGCTGAGTATCTGCTATGCACAGACTATAAATCCTCGCTGTAAACTGCACGTATCGAAAGCTAAAGGTAATCTCTGTCTGTTCACTGGAATGCCATTGGGCGTAAATTAAAAAATCAATCTGCGGCTTCCGCGTGATAATTGCTCGAAGTACGTCATTGTCAACTTATAAACCCACACGTACGGTACGCTTTGACGCAGATGAATCCGAAACGACTTTGAATTGAAACAAAAACATTATTCATCTGAGGTCGCTAGTTTTTAAAACAGTAATATGATTCTTTAATTTTTCATTCTGACACTAGACTTTGTAACGAAGGCACGTCATTCGCTCCAAAGGATTGTAATTAATAATGTATAAAAATACTGACGATTTAATCTAAAAGGATATGATGATCATAAGACGTCTATTTTATGTTTTTATAAGTATACAAAACAATATTGGTTAGTAACACATTAACTAACGGAACTAAAAGTAATAAACATCGAGCATGTTGTTAAGACAAACACCAAATGGCATCGGGCAGATCTTCAAGTGGGTTATGTCTTCCGGTAATTGCAGCGTTTAAAGTGTTGGGCTTTTAAATTAGACTTACTTTCATTTATATGTTTTAATGATTATAAAGTCTTGTAATTCATTATAACATTAAAATATAGCACTCACATTCAAAACATATATGCACTTAAAAAACACGTTTATATAATGGCTGATTAAAAATTAAATTTAGCCAAAAATTCGCAATCGGATAACCATCCTTATCAATCAACACATTAACTTATATGTAATTTTCCAAGTTGTGTCTTTTGGTAAGTAAGATCACTAAATATTTTTTTTTAATCTTTAAATTCTAGTTTTCTAGTGTTTTGATAAAGAATATTTTTAGATAAAGTTGTCCGTGGCATGAGACAAGACCGGTGTACGAGTCTCTCAGTACATTGCATCACTGATAACACGAGTCAATATAGGTGCCAATGTCAAGATAAGCTATAAAAATGGCATACTGATTGAGAGTTCTTTGCCTTTTTGAATTGTCATCGGTATTTTATGATGGATAACTAGTTTTTATCTTATTTTTCTTACATAAATATTGAAGATATTTTACATACAACATACTCAGGAAGAAATTACTCGGTTTTTGCTCAACATCAGGTGAAAGATATCAAATGAGTCCTATTTGAAATACATATCTAAATTCACGAACGTTGCAATTACAAGTAGTCGGTTATATCCGGAGTTGCTTGGTTCAAAGGAAATAGGATTACATTTACAGTAATTAGACTCCGATGTTAAGTAATTTTCTTATTTTGTAATCTTAATATTGCAACAAGCAATTACATTAGTATGCAGTAGATTTAGTACGAGATGTTTCAAATCAAATGATCTTACTATTAGATTTAAATTAAACGTATATGTTTTGGCAAGTTCTTTCTAAATAATCTCTCTGATTTATGTCATTTGGAGTTGAATAAATAATCAAACGCTTTATAAATGAAGGTTCACGTGTATGGAGCTGGATTGAGTGATTCACCAGGGAGTGGGCAGTGGGCGACGTAACCTCGGCTGCTATGGAAGCGTCGCATGACATCATTTTTCTCAACGATGTCTAGGATACATTTGAAAACCTAAATATACTTGTTTACGTATACAATAACACTAAAATAAAACACGATTCAGTTAAAAATCATGTATCCAATGTTACACATTCATCGACATGGATATGAATCAAAATGTCTTATAAAGATTGACGCAAATATTGGATATTTTAATAAGGAGATTTTAAATTACTTTTGTGATATTCAGTCTATCTGCTACTATATATGTACAAAATATATCCTAACCGCACTAAATTTTTACATTTCTTATAACAAATTATAGTTAGGTTTTCAAAGTTATTAGTTGTCGGTAATTTTTTCCTTAAAGAACGACAAGAGATACATTTAACTACGTTTAGAAAAAACTGTACTTAAATAAAATACTCTTAACTTTTAATTTTAAAAATATTGCTTTTTATTTATTCAAAAAGTCCTATTACCTTTGAATAAAAATTGTCGTAGCAACTAACTGAAAAGTAATTTATTGAATTCAGCATATTTTTATTGGACGAATACATTCGTCACGCTCGCATTGAAGGGCGAAATTCCATTTCAAATGTACGAACAATTTTACACGCCTGCGAATGTTGATTGCTTTCAGCTCGAATAATTCAATTGAGTGTTTGGTGAATTTAATTATGTAAGCTCACATCGAAGCTTTCCCGCGGCGCCGTCGCCTTCGCAGATAAGTGCTACCAAATCCGCATGCACACGGGTGCTTTTTTTTACGCGTTAAAACGTATTTAATTAGAGCAAATGCATTTCCATTTTTTCATACGAAAACGCTTTTAATATGCGACGTTTTTTTATGGCGAAGTGTTGTATTTTGAATAGTCGAAGGGAAGAAGAATGATCTTAAAGAATTCATTGCTTGAGGGCCGCCAACGCCGCGTTATAACGTTTCGTAAAAAAACGCTTGTGCGAATGTGGGCTAATAATAAGACGCAAAGTGACGTGCGAACACTCGGTCGCCTACTAATTTACTTCAAATTTATGAACACTAAAATAAATACGATATCTTGATTTGTACCAATTGATACAGCTCTAGTCTCCTTAATCCACATAATAGTAATCCCTTGTCGGTGTATGATAGCAATTTTATAATACAACGTGTGCTTCAGAAACATTTCCGCGTGAAGCGTGCGGAAAATATTCATGTGCCAAATATATTTTCGACAACGTCGTAAGAGTTAGTATATTACTGCGAATAATATTGTTTAAAGAACGTCTTAGGATATGATTTTGTTTCTCACAAAAGTGGTTTAACTTGAAAATGTACTGTGAAAAAATTAAAAAAAAAGTCAAAGCGATAAGGCATAATATTTGTGACCAGAGGTACACCACAGTTGTTTAAAAGAACAAATAAATTATATTTCATATGTGAGATTTTAAGTATATTAAAAGGTTTAAAGTTCACGTGAAAAGGTTAAATCAAGGTAAAAACTTAATTCTTTGTTACAGGTAACTTTTATGCGGCAGAGATAGTGTCAGCGTTAGAATATTTACATGCGAGAAACATCGTGTACCGAGATCTCAAGCCTGAGAATCTGTTGCTAGCTAAAGACGGACATTTGAAGATAACAGATTTCGGCTTCGCGAAGAAACTGACGGATCGGACGTGGACGTTATGTGGAACACCAGAGTACTTGGCACCTGAGATTATACAGAGCAAAGGGCACAATAAAGCCGTGGACTGGTGGGCACTAGGTTGGTTTATTAATATTATTTATTATTTATTTTATTGTTATAGCATTGTCATTGCCATTAATATCACGAGCAAAATAACTTAATTATAATATAGCACAATTAATGCTTCAAATCTCACAACCACATAATAAAATAAATAATAAATGCGGATAGAGATTGTTGCTTTTTCTGTATGCTGTAACTTAACGAAACGATTAGTAAAAGCTAGATTCAGTTCTAACCAGGTCCGCTAAATTGACTAGTTCCAATGTTATTGCTAACTAGTTTTGATTATTAGTAGTAGATATTTTATAGCCATGTAAAATTTTACCAGCTTTATATGTAAATATCAGTATACATGTGAATATTGAAAGTAGTTGCAAATAGCTTTCATTTGAATTTTACGATGCAATGGATACTGTGTGAAAGTAAGAATTATATATTTTTGAATAAATCTTCAAATGTGAATGTATGCTTGTTGATATATTTAACTACTGTTATTTTAATCCGCTTTTCAATTCCGGGAAGTTAACGTGTCTTTTTTTAAGCTTTAAAAGTTTCGACCCATTTGGCAACTCGATGCGTTCGGTTGCCAAACTTAATATTATCGCGTCAATGATGTGACAACAGCTTGTACGTAAATCTGCAGTATTCCTGTATTTACATGTCGGATTTTCACCTGATATCTATTTCACAGTATATAATTAGGTCTTACTCCTCGTTACGCACACCACATGCGAGGTACGAGTAAAAGTTGGTTAGAATGTTCCCTAAGGAAAACAAAATTAATTTGAGTTTTATGTTAAACAAGTTTTTACGACTATATTTTAGGAGTAAAGTAGGTTGATTTTCATTTGATGTTTTCATTGTCGATTTATTTGGATGCCCGCATCAGTCGAGTCAAGCTATTTTCGTTTTTAAATCGAAGGTCGAAATCATTTTTATCACTTTTTTATTCGACATTGCGTTTATTTTTTTCTCGTTTTCAATACAACACCCGGTGTAGTGACTTCTTTGTTTCTATGGAGTTTGGCTGCGATAGCCAAGAATGTATTTACTTATAGGTCGTTGTATTCTCTAAAATAATTTGTCTTATTAATTGCGGGCTCTAATTAAAAATTACATTTAAAAATTGAAATATAAAATTACATTTTTTTTGTTACCTTAACAGTAAACATCGCTTCTCACATTTTTAAACCTGTCTGTTTTGTTTTGATAACAGCTTATACGATGTGATCATCAGGCTATTTATTTCTCTCTTCCTATATTAATTTATCAAGCACAATAGTTTATTTAAGAACACATCGTAAATCAATCTGTTTACAATTTAACACGGTATTATTGTATAGTGGGTTATAAATCTTAAATTAAAAATACGAAAAGAATGTTTAATTCCATTTAATATTTAAAGAAATCATTAAGCTACCAAAAATAAGCTTTCACGATCGCACAGCCTTAAAGGGCCAATTAACGACGATTTAGTCACGTTAATCTGACAGGGGCTTATGAAACAACAATAAAGTAGCAAAAAAAAAATTCAGTCCTTTTGTTGAAATCAATCTGTAATGCGATCAGGAATCTATAAAGAATTGATATTTTTTACGGCGACTAGTAGGTTTAAACGGTAACTACATATTTGAGCAAAGTTTGAATAGATAAATCTATCCCCGATAGTTACATTTATGCATATTTGTGTGTAAAATCCAATCTAATTATTTTTATTCATTTCATTCCATCTTCGTAGAACATGTTATAATTGTTTGCGAAGGGATTTATCGTGCGTTGTCCGCCGGCGCGCGTTCGAGTGCATGGGACATATAAATGTTATGTTTACATTATAATTATTTAATGTTCCGGTGATATATGAGCTTGTCCATCGCACAAATTTGCTAGACCGTGCCAAAGTTATAATTGCGCCTAGATATAATTTATGAGCGGAGGGCTTGCAACGCGGCCCTACGTCTTGCACCCTGCCATTTAGCTACATGTACAAAAACACCTGTTGGACTCTTCAAAAACTACAAAATAATTATATAACCTGCTTTGTCTTCCTATTTTGTATTTATGTTTTATGTGCGTAATAAATTGTAAAAATATTTTCTATATATTTAGCTAGCTAAGACACAGTGTATACAAAAGCTGACCATTTTACCGTCTTTAGAGAAAATAATATTTTTAGTATAAAACTTGTACCGTATTCATCATATTATATTTATTTATTGGATCAGTATAGTAATCATGTCTAAATATCTTTGCGTTAAACTGATGTGTATCTTTTTCCAGGTGTGCTTATTTATGAAATGTTAGTCGGCTACCCGCCTTTTTACGACGACAACCCGTTTGGCATATATGAGAAAATCCTTAACGGTAGAGTTGATTGGCCGCGTCACCTCGACCCCATTGCCAAGGACCTTATCAAGAAGCTCTTAGTGCAAGACAGAACAAAAAGGCTCGGCAATATGAAGGTAAGTTTGATACACATTATTCACTATAGTAATATTTAATTTTAGATCTCAAACAACCAAACTTTTTTTTGCTGAAAAAAGGAAATAAACACGTCAACTTGTGCTACTTCCGATTCTTCCATTTGCCGTCCACGGTTTATTTTAATCACTGTCTTATTTACGTATATTTAAAATATAATTTTTTTCTTAATTTTTGACAAACGATTAATGCATTTATTTAATTAATACTGTATAGAATGGATTTTGTAACGCGATGATGACGTAAATACAACGCTATTTAAAATAGATACCTCTTTGTGTACGTAATATGACCCTAAGTACGGTTATATGCTATGATTTGTACGAACTTTTTATCATTTACGTAATTTCTTTGTAAATAAAATTCGGGCAAATTTTTAAAATTTTTACTTTTCTAAAATGTTAAAATTTCAAATACATGAATACTTATTTAATTTAAACTAAAAGCACATTTATTTTGTAGAAAGAAAGCTTGCGTCTTTTCTTCAAAGTCTTTGGCTGTTATCCAGAAATTCCATAATTAGCGTCTGATCTTGCGCTCGACAACTTCCACGTTGAAGAGCATTTCGTTTTCATTTGTAACGTGATTAGTCCAACTGTTTGGTTAACAATTGGTCTGATTGAAACAAGCGATGACTATAAGCGTTCGTGTTGTCGGAATGTTATTTGTAAAAAATAAGTTGAACAATGAGTGTAAATACCAGTTTACTGGAGCAAACAATTTTAAAGGAAAACAAAACTAGTTGATTTTAGTATTTTTTAAACATTATGTGCGTTTAATTAACATCTAGAATAGAAGTTGAATGTATTAGTAGCCTTGTTTTCGATTAAGTTGTTCCCGTTCCCTGCTACTGTGTTTCTTGCGGTCGGATTAGGTTCGTCGGTCGGTCAGATCAGGTAACTGGAAACAAATTTCATTACCATGACATCGCACCTTATATTGACATTGCACCTTACATTGACATTGCAACCTACTCGGGGCTAAATCACAGATTTATAAAGGGGACGAGTCAATTTGTAATAATGACAAATCGGAGATGAATATGGACGATATCCAGAATATTTGATATTATACAGCGCAGTAATCATGTGTCGATAACATTGTAGTTTCTCGAGAATCGAGTACAACACCTTTTTCTGTTTTCTTTTACCTCTCTTTTTTCAGAATAAATAAATTCCGAGTACCATATACAAGACTTGCCATATTAAACTTAAGTTGTAAAAGTTTCTCTAGTCGGGAATTTTGTGTCACAAGTTTCATGTGCGAGAGTGCTACATATGTGTTGTACGCGACATTTCTGGGTAATACGGCACGGAGAGATTTCCACAGGGGAATGTCTGTCATTAACGAGCGCAGTTTCTAGCTATTGGGTTTTCACCGAGCTTTTTGCTGGCGACGTGCACATGTTTAGAAAGCAATCGGTCTGGTGGACGTCGGTCACATCAAAAGCTACGATACGCGGTGCCTGACTACAATCCCAACGGAATTCGCTCTAATATATCACTACTACTAGCTAGGGTCTCTAGTTTTAGGTGATGGTAATCGTAGGATCATAGAGATAATGCAACCACATGGGCAATGGATTCTATACAATTTTCTGGTGAAACATCAGTCTAAAAATGTGTTGTGTAGGTTATAATATTGTAAACCCAACATATTACCCAATACAAGGCGTCTCTAAAATCGGGGTCTGCAGAGATATGTAACTCTCACATGCTCGCCAATTTATGTCCACTTAATCATTTCGAAATGCGTCTCCGCTCTTTACACAATAATAATAATTTCACACTTTGATGTTTATTCTGGTAACAACACACATAAAATGGTTAGTTTAATGTTTGTTTCACTTATAAAATAATAATTTGCTTTCGTGTTACAACTAAATAGACTGTTTTAATGTTTAATTTACGATATCTTATATATAAAAATCAATTGCTGTGCGTTAGTATCGCTAAAACTCGAGAACGGCTGAACGGATTTATCTTATCTTGTTCTTGTAATGTTCGTGGAGGTGTAGGGAAGGTGAGTAAAATTCGAATATTTGCCGGGAACTAATTAAGTTTTTTTTTCATTCCACGCGGACGGAGTCGCTGGCGACGGATATTATAGATATAAAGATGGCTTTCATTGAAAGCTTTTGTAATCAAATTAATAGAAAATAAATCACTTTTTAAACGTAATTTTATCAAGCAAACTAATAGTATGTCGTATGTTTATTCCCGTAATGAGTTGTAATATCAAGTAACAACAAAACCTGTTGCGTAACTGTATTGTATAACTGGTCAAGCAGCTTACAGTCTGAGTACTACGTTAACTATTGTTGACAAGGAACTAGTGCTAAGGTATTACTACAATTACTAAATAATTATAAGATAATTGAGTCCTTAATTGTATTGATTTTACTTGAATCAAGTCATTAATCGAAACTATGGTAACATGATTTCGTAGACTTCAAATAAGTTCTCATTTTTTGTCTTACACGTTATAAACCGTTGTTATATTTAGTCTACATTAAACTATATTTTAGAACCGAGCAATAGTTACATCAGCGGGAATGTAACAATAATTCAGTCCAAACGACCGCAGCCCTCGCAATATTAAACGATGCCGGTAAAACGAAGTAACTACCAATCAATCAAGCCAAAGGAATTGCGTAAAATGTGTGCTTGCGCAACCGACGGATTCGGAAATGTAGCGCTCAACTTTAAACAGTACAATTTACGACGCCCAGCCGCTAACGAACGTCGCAAATGCCAATAATAACAGACTGCACCTAAACATTATTAACTGCGCCTTTATACTAATAAATATATTCAATATACATTTGCACAATTGAAAACCTTAATACATTTGTTTCTTGGTTCATGACTTATCAGGAAAAATAGACTGTAACCATAAAACTTTGAAAATAATTATGACATTTAACCAACGTTATAGAAAAAGTTAGACGTAGTGCATAAACAAAAAGAAAAACAATCAATCATCGTTTGTATATCGGTCGGACGTTAATTTTCACCAGAGCTTAATTGCTGCGTAACTGACAAGTTAGCGAGTCTCTTAAGTTGGACATTCCCTACTGATACTAACATAATACATATTTAAATGATATAAAACTTCAAACATTTGTAAGATTAATTATGACTGATCAAAAATTAACATACTAGAAAACCAAAATCGACAGTTCTTCTTTCTAACATCATTTGTAACTTGACATAAAATAATTGTTCATCCAGGTAATAAAAAAATATAAAACAGGGGGAAAACTCAAAATTGTATTTGGGACTCAAGTCAACTCAAGTCTACGTAGGAGCCATCGCAATATGCAATGGGATAAAATAATCCATAACGTTTCTATTTGACAGTGTTGCGGTGTACGATAATATGCAGAAACGAAATGTTTCTTTATAAATAGTTTTATTTAAAAAGTGTAACAGCTGAAGTGTTGGCGATTGCTAGACAATGTAAAACAAACAGTTCTCTTTGTTTTGTTTACAGTGCGGATCTGAAGATGTTAAAAGGCACAGATGGTTCAAGCATTTGGACTGGGCGGACGTGTTCATGAAGAAATTACAGGTATTGAACTTGAAACATGACTTACTACACTTTTCATTAATTTTACATTTCTACAATTTTACATATTTAAATATGGTAGAAATTTCATTCTTCCCGATAAAATGTCAAGGTATAAGTTCAAAATAAAATTGCACCAATGAAAGTTAAACTTGCACAATACGTAGGTGAAATTTGCATCTTATTTAGGGTTTTGTTTTATTAGGTATAAACATTGTTTTTTATTTGTTTTCAGCCACCCATAATGCCGACGGTGTCATACGAAGGAGACACGTCCAACTTTGACGAGTATCCCGAAACAGATTGGAAGGCGGCACGCGCGCTCGATCCTGACGAACTCAAACTCTTCTCTAACTTTTGATGCACTTACACAATAATTTTGTGTAAGTGCATTGTGTATGTGTATTGTGTACATGTATTGTGTAACAATAATTTAGATTTCGAATATTTTTAAGTCTGTACATTGCAACAGACATCTACAGCCATTTGCCATTAGAGATAGAAATGGAAATTGAAAATATTTTAGATGTTTTAACTCCTTTTGATTTTCAAAAGTTGTTATCTCGTAAATTAATTTGTTTTGTTTAGTAAGAGCTACTAAACTATTAAGTGTTTACGTGTCTACATTATTGTATGTGTAGAACATTATTATGTTCCTCTTGCATTAGATGTATTGCTGTGTAGAAACGAAATGTTTTAATTGTGTTTTAGAAGTTTGTAACATGATAGTTTTTTATTAATTTGTCTTTGAAATATTTCAAGTTATTATTTACGGTTTCGTTACCTATCCTATTAAATTCGATGTTGCATTTAAAACTGTAGATTTTGCAGATATTAGTGATCTGATTAAAATTCTGATCAATTTTCAGTAACACGAGAACAGGTTCAAATAATAAAGTGTCGTCTTGTGAATAATTAAGACAAAATTAACTTTCATTTTGTTTGAATTATTTTTAGAAGTTTTCTTAAAGAAATCTTTATGTCTAATGACGGTCAATATTTCTACATTTAATTTCGATCCACATAGATAATGACTATAACAATTCCAACGCTTTCTAGTAAATTTTTAAGCGATTATTATAGTTTTATCTTACGATTTATTTGGATTCTTATCCGATGTTTGTGATTTTAAGCGTAGTATTATTTAAGTAGATTTAAGTGTGTAGTGTAAGTATTTATTTGCTATTGTGGCTTACGGCGTTATTATCATTTAGGTAATAAAAAGCATACATCTCCCTAATTCGAGTTCAACTCTTAAACAAACAATTTGTAACTTATTTACACATAACTCAGGGTCAATGTAAAAATATCTTTGAGTGGTATTAGTATTCAAAACAATATATCCAAGAGTATCGCTTTTTTTGGATTTATGTACTAGCAAATGTTTGTGAATATTAATTTGTAATTTACGTCTCGCCATATTTTGTTCTCTGTGATCCTATTAGTCACGATAGCCCTGCGATGTAATCGATAAACTTACATTACCCAGTAGCCAATCAATATGTACTAAAGCAAACGAAATATTAAATAATATTTTAACAGGGTTTACAATTAATATAGATTAAATCGATGTAAATATTCATGAAATAAATGTATTGTTTGAAAAATATAAAGCCGTTTATTTTACAACATGCTATGATTTGTGTTTAAGAAGTAATGAAAATTGATTGTTTATTGTTACATATCGAATATGTTGAAATTTTCTCGACTCTGACGTCAATGAAAGTAAACAAAACATACGTTGTTGCAGTATGCAGAGCGTCGGATTCCGGTCTGAAGAATTAAGGGAGAAACATTTTGATTAATATCTTTATAACGTAAACTATGGATTTTTAAGACCGCTTAAACGCAACGGTTAGAAACAAGACTAGAGGTTGGAACTAATAAGTTTAGTTTTAGTTTAATTTAGAGGCATCGTGGTGCACCTGTTATGCGTTTTACACACGGCCCAGTTTATTTTACTTGTGCGAGCAGACAGCGCGCCGCCGGTTGTTTCGCGTTTGTTTGATTTTGCGCGAAACCAGATACCACATCTGTGCTACTGAGTTGAATCACTCCTAGTTAATGCATTGCCAGTCATATTTTAGTCTAATACAAAATTTGTTGATGAGTTTACGAATACTTTATCGATTTTTTTGTGATAGGCTTTTAGCTTGCTTAAGTTTCCGAATCTACTCTTTCTTTATTACGAAAAGCTCAGACGTTCCGCTTCCTTTGTTATATTTACGATACAAAAGAAAAAACTAATTTTGTTGAAGATATTATGTCGATATCTTAAGTATAAAAATTAAAAGTCACTGATAAAAGAATGAAGATTTAAAAACCTATTTAAAAATTACAACATTTATTTACACTGTCATTTATTACATGCGTAATATATATGTTGCACCTGTATATGTGCATTAAACAGACATCGGCGTATATGTTAAACATAACACAGAATAAACAATTATGGTGCAATATTTCTTTCATTAGGTAATATATCATGAGAAAAAGTTGAAAACAATCTTATATGCAGTGTTATAGCCACGAAGTTCCATCATTGGTATCGATACGTGGGTTATAGATAACTAATCAAAAATAAATTAAAAAATGAAACATAACGCGCTTTTAGTTTGTCGTGGCGTGGTGTGTGCGTACAGTTTGATAAGGGGAATATTCTAAAACATATTAGGAAGGAATCGTTTTATAATGTCACTACGACCTTTATCTGCTGAACTGGCTGAAAAAGCTCGTTTGGAACTGAACGAGGACCAGAGTCGTGTCAGCGATGATATACAGCATATCAAGGATTGGTTGGCAAAGCAGCCACATTTACGAGCTAGGACAGGTAAGGTAAAATTACTGAAACAAGTAGAACACCGCGAAATTAAATCGGGACAGAAGCGAACCTTATGAAACTAATATGGTATTGTTTCGTTTCTAAAATCAAATGTTAAACGAACTTTGTAACAATTTCGTTTTTTTTTTCATGTTTAGCGTATTACACCTTGCTTAATGCAAGCATATGTTTTCTTTCCCGGCTCTTCGACTTAGTGCAATTATTGCTATTATTTTTCAGATGACCAATGGTTACTTGCGTTTCTCCGTGGATGCAAATTTAGTTTAGAAAGAACAAAGGAAAAATTAGACTTGTACTACACCATTCGTAAAACGGCACCAGAATTCTATCGAATTAAACACACTGATCCGCTTTTCAATGAGATTTTGGAACTTGGGTAAATATTGTTTAAAAACATTTACTAAATTTTATTAGGAAAGAAAAAGCAAACCTACATGGACTATAGCTTAAGCTATCTGTAAAATTTTATAAAAAAAGTAATGTTTTCAGTTCGCTCATAGTATTGCCGAAGTTGGCTAATCCAGTAGCTCCGAGGGTCTCTATGATAAGACCCGGTAGTTACGATGCGGATAAATATGCAATCGCTGATGTAATATCGGTAAAAACTGTTATAGATAAAGTAAGTATTGTAAAACAGACTGTTACCCTCATTTTCGACAGCAGAAACGTCTGTAGGAAAGCATTTTGCCATCCTTGTTATTTTCTATGAAAGTAACAGAGATAACAGTATGTTTTTTTACATGTTTTTCGAATGTAGATACTTGCGGTTGTACTGTTAAATGTTTTGTTAACTATATTTTTATATTAAGTATAATATGATTTAAGATTTTATTAATGGAAGACGACAATTTGGCGGTGGCCGGTAGCCAAACTATTTTGGACTTAGACAACGTGACGATGTCGCATTTTTTGCAAATGACGCCGATGGTTATAAAAAAGATGGTCGTCGCAACACAGGTAACACTTAAAACTTGTGAAAGTTGTTTAATAAAATATTTGTTTTTATTAAAACATATTCTTTTTAGTAAATTTATAGCATATTCCAAAAGCTGCTGCTCAGTCAACTGACAGACTTTTCTACTTTTTAAATACATTTGCGACTACCTAATTAATTAAAATAAAAAAATCATAAATTGTTTTTTTTTATCGTGTACATTTTTATTTTAGGATGCTTTGCCGCTACGTATGAAAGGAACTCACTACTTAAATACTCCTACAGGATTTGAGACTATCTTTAATGCAATTAAAAGTTTATTGACAGCGAAAAACCAAAGTAGAGCAAGTACCTCTTAAATAAGATTAAAATAGCACCATGTCTTAACGAATATCTTTTTACCCTTTATATTTTGCTTTTAGCTATATGTGCACAACAAAAATTACGATGAGATGTACAAATATATTTCTAAGGACATATTGCCCACTGAATACGGAGGAGAAGGAGGTACTATTAAGGAGATAACAGGTCAGCTATCATTAAAATCAAAAAAATCTCATACGCACTTTTAGACATGATTAGTCAGAATCCTTTGGTGCGAATGGCGCGCTTTCGTTACCAAGTCAAGTGACAGAATGATTAGTGAGGGGGTATGTTCGTCGACATTTTAGTAAGGCTAGTGTTGCTCCAGTACACCGGCACAGTGTCGGATTTTCTTCCTAACATTACATATGTATCTATTAATCGAATTATTTAATTTAAGGAAACTGTTCTTAATATTTTTTGATAATTTATGATGTCTATTTTTCTGCAGACTATTGGAAAAAGAAAGTGGAGGAGTACAGTGATTTCTTAGAGGCAGATTATCAGTACGGCACTGACGAGACTAAACGTCGCGGCAAGCCGAAGACCGCGGAAGATATGTTTGGATTAGAGGGATCATTCAGGCAGCTACAATTCGATTAATGTGTGTCAAGAAATTTATATAAATGTACCAATATATTATACCAAATTGAATAAATGATTTTTTGCGTATTTTTCATAACTTAATATAATCAGAATTACGTGGGAAGAGTTATAAAACATAAAAACAGATTTACACAGAAAAAAATAAGTGTTTTTTTACCTACTGCTTCATTTAACTAGAAAAAGCATTTAATCCCATAATACTACTTATTCAATTATACTTGGCTACTACTTTTTATACTAAAAGCTATAACTACAATAGATAGAGGAGAGGCAACATCTTCCCTTTTTTAAAACGCTAAAGAATTAAAAAATGCACGTATTTGAGTCAATAATTGTAAGATATTATATTGCAACACCATCGTTGTATTATTGATTTTTATACGGATATTTATAGATAACTAATCAATGATAAATATGTACCGTACACAAGTGCCCTAAGTGTGCACTGTGAAATTACTTGCTTGCAATAAAGGACGTGTTTCATTGAAATTTTGTTAAGAAAGGCTGTAATATGACTTTGCGACCCTTATCTAGTGAATTAGCTGAAAAGGCTCGTTTAGAACTCAATGAGGATTCAAATCGTATTAACGATGATCTACATCATATCAAAGATTGGTTGACGAAGCAACCACATCTACGAGCAAGAACTGGTAAGTACTTCAAAAATTTTAGTGTTCATTAATTTTATTGCTATTTATATTATTAACGTTACATCCAATTTGTGTAATTTAAATAGCGGTCGCTCGCGACTCCGTCTGCGAGGAATAAAATTTTTTGTAGCCTATGTGCTCTTCCAGACTATGTTCTATATGTGTGCCAAATGTCGTCGGGATTCGCTTAGCCGTTCTGGAGATACCTTCAAAACAACGTCCATCCATGCATTCTTACAAACATTCGTATTTATAATATAAGTAAGATTGTAACAATGATCGAATTGATTTGTTTGGCTTTTTTGGTATAAGAAAATGTATTTTTAAATAATCTTAATAAAGTTTGCTACTGTATTTTATTATTCTTTTCAGACGATCAATGGCTGATTGCATTTCTCCGAGGCTGCAAATATAGCTTAGAAAGAACTAAGGAGAAATTAGACTTATATTACTCTGTTCGTAACGCGGCACCAGAATTTTATCGAATTAAACATACTGATCCTTTATTCAATGAAATTCTGGACCTAGGGTAAGTAACTATAATGGTGAGTCATTTTTATGTTTAAAAAATGTAACCGTCTATCTTTGCACTAACAATATATTCCAGATCGACAATTATATTGCCAAAAGTGGCAAGTCCTGATGCCCCTCGGGTTACAATAGTAAGACCTGGACAATACGAGCCCGAAAAATATACAATCGCCGATGTTTTATCAGTAAACACAATTATTGATAAGGCAAGTAACTGAAAGTGTCATTGATCTGTTGTTATGCGTAATTGTTTCGATGGACAAATGAAGTTATATGACTCATTTTTAGATTTTATTAATGGACGACGACAATATGGTGGTAGCTGGCAACCAGTTTATATTGGACTTAGACAAAGTCACAATGTCACATTTCTTGCAAATGACACCGATGACCATGAAAAAGATGGTCGTTGCTTCACAGGTAACATACATAAATTTAAATTTAGTACTTTCCTGATCAATTAAACTTGAATTGTTATTTTAAGCCTGAATATTTGTATGCAGTATTAGATTCTTTTTTCTCTATTTTTTTTTCCAGTTATTTTTTCCAGTATTTTAAGACTAGCGTAAGTAAGTCTCCTTAATAGTTTTTTTTTGTTCAAATTAAATATAGTCTGTAGATAACACATTCCTCAATTATGTTAATAAGTTATTTTTTATTTCAGGATGCGTTACCCTTACGTATGAAGGGGACTCATTATTTAAATACTCCAACGGGTTTCGAGACCGTTTTCAATGCGATGAAAAGTTTACTGAGTGCGAAGAATCAAAGCCGAGTAAATAATTTATATTAATTAAATAATATAACAAAGTACACGGCTTAAATATATACGTAAATGTTTCCTATATATTTTCAGCTCTACGTACATAACAAAAATTTCGAGGAAATGTACAAATATATACCTAAAGAGATCTTGCCCTCTGAATACGGTGGTGATGGTGGTACTATAAAGGAAATCACAGGTTTGTGTTAAAATTGATAAAGAAAATAGTTATTCACATAACATAGCAATATTTAGGGAGAGTAAGCCTCACAACTGCCGCAATTTATGATCAAAACGTAAACTCGAAACAAGTCTTGAGTTTACCGTAGGAAGTTGTATTAATTCTATATTATTTGATAGTTCTTACAAAAATTTTCATTCCTTGTTATTTTTCCATTATTCAATTATAATATGTTTCAAGTCAAATGTTATCGCTAAAACTTTATCACTTTGTCTACTTTGTGATTCAGAGCAACTTTTTAAATCTTCACATATTTGTATTGCATTATTGACTTTACCTTTTGAACAGACTATTGGAAAAAGAAGGTAGAGGAGTATAGCGACTTCTTAGAGGCAGATTATCAATACGGCACTGACGAGACTAAACGTCGCGGCAAGCCGAAGACTGCGGTAGATATGTTCGGATTAGAAGGATCGTTCAGGCAGCTGAATTTTGACTAGAGTCGCGTAGAAAGATATTGTATTAGAAAACGATTTTCATATTTTTTTATTAAATTCCTTTTTCATTCAAATGCATTATTATTTTAAGGTGAATTCGAATATGTGTAAACATTTATTACTTTTAAAATTATCTAAATCATAACAGCTACGTTATATAAGTCCATTATCATAGCAGCTTACAAGATTACAACTCAAACTAATTAAATAAGGAGGTGTCATCAAATAAAACAGATAAGAACAGCATCGACCTAGACTTTATACAGCAAAACATATTTCTTTTGCAAATCAATTGTTTAGTCACTTCATACAAAGTTCAAAAGAATACTAGATAACAAATGATTGGAGAATATTAATTTTTTTATTTAAAAAATATTTTTTTACAAAGTTTTTCTTTATTTATATTTCATTTAATCAAGTCCACGTCTTATAAGATTTATTGATATTTCTTTTAGGAAAATATCTGCGTTGTCTTTTGTCTCTTTTTTTATTTTAACGTTAAATCAATTCCCATTCAAAAATCCAATGGCAAATTATCTTATACTTAGAGCTACTATTAGGATTTACCTGATGAATGTAACATAAATTGACCTATTCGTCAAGTCGACGGCATCTTCTTTACTTTAGTGTCTTTATCTTTGTTTTGGTACTTTTGTATTGTTTTTCGTAACTAATCAGAATTTCATTAAAACATTTAAACAATTAAATTGAAGAAAGTTGTTGTTTAACCGTATGGCATACTCTTATCTCAGACTGACCTTTATTTTTTTTAATATTTTGGTTAGGTCAATGTACATAATGTTACTGTGTATCAAATTTCATTTTATCTTCAAGTGCTCATATCTCATTCGATATTCTCGTGCGTGGTCTCATTATACGACTAGTGTACATGAAAAATATTTTAGCATTTTATTACAAAAAGAAAACAGTTTATAAATTATTTTAAATACACATTTTTTTATTTTACTTCGATATTTTTAGAAGTGTTTAACAAACTAGAACTATCATTAAGTGTGAAGATAAATCGTGTAATAAAATGCGTAAACAATTAAATTGATGGTGTGTCAGTACTGTGTAGATAAATATAAATTAAAAATCTATTAAAATGTCTATTCGATCTCTGCCCGATGCTTTAGCTGAGATAGCTCAAAGAGAATTAAACGAAGACCCAAAACGAGTCGAAGATGATTTACGACATATTAAAGAATGGTTGGCAAAACAAAAACATTTGCGTGCAAGATCAGGTATGAAGTACATTAAAATTTTATTTTAATATCATATCCTTCCATCAAACAATAGGTGCATGTCCATTTATTTGTATTGTACTCTGGAGGCGCCTCACAGTATTTGATACTGAAGAAGCAATCTGTGTATGTTAGCCAACTATTGTTGTTATTAATAAATTAATAAATTCTAAAGTAAAGGCACAAATTAATCATTTTAAAGAGGAGAAGAGGCATAGGTAAGGTTGGCAACGTATATGCAATTGGGGATGCCTATGGGCTACGGTCGCTTCGCTATTTCGGCGTTAGGTGGCCGCATGATTGTTTGCCTCTTTATGTTATAAAAAAAAACTTTCGATCTAGTGATAAAAATATTCATCTATGTCTAATCTTATCTAATTTATTCTCATCAATCATCGGTCGTCGTTGCCCTATTTCTTACCTATTTGACGTTCTGACTTTTTCCTCTGTATGGCGTACATTAACCACTATTCACTCAAAATCATCTAGGAAATTGTGCTAAATAAATATTTTATTACATGCATACGTATCATATTTAAATGTAACAATTAACTTAAGAGATCGTAGTAAGTATATAATTCATATGTTGTAGACGACCAATGGCTCTTAGCCTTTTTGCGCGGATGCAAATTTAGCTTGGAAAGAACAAAGAAGAAGATAGACCAATATTATTCAATACGGAACATAGCACCAGATTGTTTTATAATAAAATATTCAGATCCAGCTTTCAACGAGATCCTTGAAACGGGGTAAGAAAAAAATTAATGGAGGTAACGAATAGATAAAACGGGTAAATCCAGTCACTATTTAGTGGTCATTAAGGATGATTTAAGTGTAGATTTAAGATGAGAAATCTAACAAGAGTTTGTTTATGTAAATATTAACGTCTATGAGTACGACAGTCATTCATTGTTTAATGTGGTAACAGATTTGTATTTCGTTTACAGATCATATTTAATATTGCCTCAAGTAGATCACGAAGCCGCGCCACGTGTTATAATCATACGACCTGGGAGTTACGATCCCGATAAATTTACTATCACAGATATAATATCCGTAGCTGATGTTATACACAAGGTATTTGAGATAAAACAAGAATTATTTTAGATATTATTTAAATGCTATTTGATAGATTTAAATGCTATAGTATATATAGTTTATTTTAATTTTTGATAGTGATTATTGTAACGACAGCTAAAAATTTAACCAGCATTTGCACGTTACATCTTCCAATTATGAAAAACAAATTTGAAGGACATGTTAATTTGTATGGCGCTTCCTTTGGTTTATTTTGTTTGTTAATACATTCTACTACTAATTCTGTAATTAATTGTAGATTTTATTGATGGAAGATGACAACACAGTGATAGCCGGATCTCGTATTATTTTCGACTTAAACGGTGTCAAATTGGGTCACTATTTGCAGATGACGCCAGCAACCATGAAAAAGATGGTAACACTAGCTCAGGTAAAATATAACAAAAATAAATACGGTTAGTTAAGATACTTTTAGTAACGTTAGCAAGGATATTTTTATTTGATTTGATTTGTATTCGATATTAATTTGATTTTATGACAATAATAGATAAGTTATATTTATAGGACGCGATTCCTGTACGCTTGAAAGGTATTCACTATTTAAACACACCACCTGGCTTTGAGAGTATATTCAATGCACTGAAGAGTCTTCTAAATGAGAAGCATCGAAAAAGAGTAAGGAAAGCACTTTAAAACATTTTTTGTACATTTTAGTCGATACATATTGAATAACTTTTAAATTTTAGCTTTTTGTGCACAACAAAAATTATGAAGAGATGTACAAGTATATCCCCATGGATATTTTACCTTTGGAATATAATGGGAAGTCGGAAAGTATTGAGGATATTATTGGTAAGGATTACATTTTTTTTTCAATAATGGAATTTATGCGTGTCCTTTTCGTAAATTTTATTTATATAGCCATAGTTAATGTTCGGTTTATTCTTTTAATCATAAGCTATTAACTAACATTGTGTTTGCTCTTCATTTACTACTGAGATGAAAGTTTGTAAGTGTATAATACCTCGTGTTCGCGACTAAAAGCTTGTATATTGTGCTTGTGGTTAATCACTACTTTTTGCAGAATATTGGAAAAAGAAAGTTCAAGAATATAGTGAATTTTTCAAAGAAGATCTGCAACATGGCGTTGATGAGTCGGAAAGAAGTGGTCAAGCAATAAGTGCTGACGCTATGTTTGGTGCCATCGGTTCCTTTCGTCGCTTGGAATTTGATTAATTCGCAACACAAGAATCATTTTTTTTTGTAAATTAAAGTGATTTAAATAAGAACTGTTAATAATAAAATTGTTTCAACTTTTTTAATAAAAGTGATTTCTTAAGTAAATCAAATAAAATGTTTTTTTTTTTAAATATTTAAAGCAATATTTCAAACGTAACTTGTCTTTGATTGCGACGTATCTTTGGTTTTTTGGCTCGTGAGCTGCGCTAAGTTACATTGCCCAATTTTTTTATTAAAAATTAAATATAATAAAATAGCAATTTTCACTGCGGAAAAGATTGATGTTGGCTGAAGTAAATTTTTTTTAGAGTTTTTATCAGAAAAATTATATGGCGAACCGAGGTTCAATCGATATATATAAATTATCAATATTAATCATATCTAAGACGCCTGTGCTAATCCGTACTTTATATTAATTTGTTATCAACTGCGACCACTATCTGTCAGTGTTGATTTACGCGGCAATCAGAAATTACACGATTTAATTTAAGTAATTTTAAAAAGGTAAGTGGTATTTTAAATAAAATTAAACATAAAACTATTAAAATTTAAGTAAAATATTGTTATATAAACTAATTAAAATGCACATTTTACGGATGGACTGTCTGATACTTGTTGTTGCTATAATAGTCTGTATCAAAACTAGACTACACACGAAGATAAGCCTGTTTTAATTCGCTTATAATTCTTATAAAACATGTAATTTCTTATTAACAAAATATAATATTCGTTTACAGTATTTCAGTAATTGTTGAATGTATCTCGCTCACAAATTTTCTATAATATATTGTTTTTAACCAGATTTATCAAGATGCCGGTTAGACCGTTATCCCCCGAATTGGCGGAGAAAGCGCGAAATGAACTCAACGAAACCGATGACAATAAGATGGCAGACAGTTTGCAACATTTGAAGGAATGGCTTGCCAAACAGTCACATTTAAAAGCACGAACAGGTATTTTTATTTAAAAAAAATAGAGATATAACATTTAAAATTAAACCACCCGCAGAGGTTACACGTGGCATCCGTCTGTGAAGATATCCTCTCGCAGCTAATCAGGAGCCGTTATAGAGTTTGAATTTTATAATACTTCTTTGGCTTATGGACGCGATTGCTTATTTAGACCTGCAGCTGAATAATATTTTTATATCCATTAATATCCTAAATGAGACTTGCAGCCTAAATGTTATTACAATCTAGCTGACCATATCATTCTTTGAAAATTGTGCTTAATCACTTAGATAATGCGCCGTGTACTGAAAAATAAAATTATCATCATAATAAAATAATTACACGTGTAAAGTTTGGTTGCAAACATTTTTTAAGAAATGAAATATCATAAAATACGTATAGGTTCTGTTTCAATTGACCAATGAAAATATTTCAGATGATCAATGGCTTGCTGCGTTTTTAAGAGGCTGCAAGTTCAGTTTGGAACGAACGAAACAAAAACTTGATTTATTTTATACTTTAAAGACAACAGCACCTGAGCTGACTCCCTTGAGTTATAAGGATCCAAAGTTCTTTGAGATTCTCGATCTGGGGTAAGTTTAATGTTCCTTGAAAATCTGTTGGATATTAAAGCGATGGTTTCGCTTTACTTAATGAATTTTCAGTATAGCTATTCAATTTCCATTTCAATAGCTCAGCTTTGGTTATTTCTCAAAATTTTCTATGATTTATTTCGTATTTTTGATTGGCGACATATTAAATATTTTGTTTTACAGAGTGACATTGCTCTTGCCAAAATCTTCCAATTCTGCTGAACCGAGGATTCTTCTAATGCGACCTGGATTGTACGACCCTAACAAATATTCATTAGGTGATTTAATGTCTGTCAATGGTGTTATCCAAAATGTATGTACCAATATATTATGTAATACATGGCGTAGTTCATTTGAAACGGTTTTATTAAGCTAGCCTTGTTCATTATTTTGCTGCAGATTCTGTTAATGGATGATGACAATTTTGTTGTTGCTGGTGGTGTCAGTATCGCGGATTTGCAGGGCGCGACCATGGCTCACTTCGCCCAAATGAATCCTATGCTTATGAAGAAAATGAGTGTAGCATTTCAGGTAATGCAATTGTTTTGTTGTACTTGTACAAAATAGTAACAATGGTATCCGTCAGCAAAAACAACATGTGTTGCACAAATGGGCGGGATCGACCAGTGAAATACCACGGCCACACAGAAGGCAGACGAGATGAGAAGTGGAATTAACTCTGGGATTTGTCTCATCAGTGTTCGTATCAAAGGCCTAATTTAACTATTCTTTCCCTTCCTACTCTATTGTTATGAAGAAAGTATGGAAAGGGGAATTGGAAGATGCGTATTCTCCTCCGTCGATTAAAAGTAGACAACGCATCTGCAATTGCTAATGTCTAGACTCGGAACAATTTTTTGATTTGTAAAGATGTTTACGTAATTGCTTTCAGGAAGCTGCTCCTGTAAGAATGAAAGGTAATCATTACTTGAACACTCCGCCGGGCTTCGAGACCTTCTTTAACTTTATGAAAGGTTTCCTCAATGAGAAAAACAAAAACAGGGTACATGAAGCTTAAAAAACTTTTTATTATGAATTTTTATATTTTTTTCGTACTCAATAATATATTTATTTTTGTAGTTATATGTACACAACACCGATTATGAATCATTGTACAAGCATGTACCTAAAGAAGTGCTGCCAGCAGAGTATGGTGGTAATGCCGGGACTGCTCGAGAGCTCATAGGTACTTAAATATTCCTTTTTTTGTAATATCTGTACAAGGGAATTTGTAATGCATTGTATAGGATTTTTTGTACTAGTGCGACTTACACGTCCATTCTTACATAGGGACTCACTCAAAAGAGACTACCGAGAGAGTGTCATATCAGATTCATCGTCAGCTCACTATACGTCCCCACTGAGAGGCTCGGAGCCTACCCTAATTGGGGGGTGACATATCAGATTATCATAGACAAAATTAGTCACGAATTTACTTTTTACTCTTTTAATAATATTTATTTTTCTATTTTGTAGAAAACTTAAAGAAAAAGATTTTGGAGTACAGCGCATGGCTCGACGAGGAACACCTGTATGGAACTGATGAATCTAAACGACTTGGCAAACCTAAAACTGCGGAAGAACTATTTGGAGTCGAAGGATCCTTCAGGCAATTACAGTTCGATTAAACTGTACCTAGGATGAAAAATTATACATGTTTTCAACTTCGAAGTAAAATATTTATGATTATATAGTTATTATAGTAAATTATGTCATAAAATAGTTTTATTATTTGCCTAACAATCCAAATAAACGTTCTATTGCCATAACAAAATCCTCAAGTAACAATGTAGCTACATTAAAATCTCTTAGGTAGATTTCTTAAACTGCATAATCCAGTGAATGTGTCACTTTCCTGGTTTATGCAGAATCGAAACGATTTATTATACGTACCTAATTTATGATTATTAAAAATTTTCGAAAAGTTCGAAACGTAGTCTTCTTAAATATCCCCCAAATATTAAAGTCTTATATTCCTGATGGTTCGGATGTAAATAAATGTAAAAGAATTATTTATGCTGAAAATTTACTTAGATAAATAAAAAATAATGACTGTATAAATTTTCTGAAACTCAGTCTTTATCTGTCAAATATGACGTAACTCTTGCAGAGTGGATATATTAGTCAGTTTCATACAGAAAGCAATTCAATTGAATACAGAATAGAAAACAAGATCTAAAATGACGTAATAGCGTGCTGCTTAATCGACAATTCAGAGCGACACCGATAACGTGTATTGTTACCTGATAATGTCAGTCGATAGAGCGTCGCTACGACCAATACCAGCCATTCTCCTTGCACCTGGTAATAAATATCATATTATTTAGCAAATACTTACTAGTTCTTATGTGTATGAAAGTGTTTAATACAATATCGTGTTTTCTACTGCTATAATTTAAATACATAATCTACAGAAAGTCATCATGATTCGAGAACTAACTCCAGAGTTAGCACACATAGCCAAGACTGAGTTAAACGAGGACCCCAAGCAAACACCTGAAGATGTACAGCATTTAAAGGATTGGATCGCGAAGCAAACACACCTGAAAGCTAGAACAGGTAAGACTTTTTGCTTAAATCTTTACAGTTATTTTAAGCCTCGTACCAGATGATACTATTAAGTCGTCGACTTCTTTATTTACTTTACATTCGAAGACGTTTCAATACTTAAGCAATAGATTTTCTCACAATAAACGAATACAAAGTTTACCGACTTTGACTGCCAATTAATAGGTAAGTTAGTTGGTACTTTAGTAAGTGTACAAGTAAACACTTTTTTTATTAGACTTAAAAATGTTGAATCATTCTGAATTTATAAGTATGTTTAAGTAATAAAATACTATAAATGTGTGTTAAATCCTTAGGATTGAGCAGCGCAAATATAGTGTATTATGTATTTTCACTATAAGCTTCTTAACTCTATTTGTATATGAAAAAGCAAAAACTGAATCACTAAGCAACAAAGGTAAGTTCGGTGACCTTTATATAAACTGGTAGGCAGATCTCTTAGTGATACGTTATATTGATAGATAACCTTCTTATTATCGAGTTGGATTAATTCTAAATGAAATTTGACAAAATCTTACTCTACGTAAATGACAACGATTTAAAAAAATACGGTCTCGTTACGTTTTGAATAAAATACTAGTTAATTTTTATAACCCAATTTTAACAAAGAAATAAGTATCATTGTAATTAAAAAGTCATTAAGAAATAACTAATAACGTTCGGACTTAATCGATTTAGATATAACTTTACTCTTAATTAATGTATTAGCTTCACACATCTATGGCTATGACGTCATGATCTACCATGATTGTGACTGTTGATACTCCTTGCTTGTAATATTTTAAAGATATCTAAATTAATGTATTTTCAAATTCAAGTAAAGTAATAAGTATAAATATTGCTATGACAAGTTGATATGAGAGTGTTTAGGTACGCATACGTAATGTCTAGGAATATATTTCATTTGTGTACCAGCTCATCCTAGCTTTGCCCTGTTGAATATTTATTTTTAAAACATTATGCTAATGATGATAGATTTGAAATCGATTGAGTAGATTTTGAGTTCATTCGTTACAAGTATATTATTCTTTCCTTTTTACAATGCTGCAAATTATTCGTGTAGATAAGTGTAGAAAATCGTGTTGAAATATTTTCAGATGATCAATGGCTGGTGGCGATGCTCCGTGGCTGCAAGTTCAGTCTGGAACGGGTCAAGGCAAAGCTGGACTTGTACTACACGCTGAGGACTACTTCGCCCGAAGTCACGCTTCGATTAAAGCCGACACAACCGACATTTATTAATTTCTTAAAATTAGGGTAAGTGTTATTGTTATTGTCTCGTCAACTTTGGCATAGTTTTCATAAATTAGACCCACAGATGTGTTTTAAAAATATTTACTTGTTTTATTGTATATCCCGCGAAGATAGTATGCTACACACTTCGGTGTTTGATAAAGAGATTAATCACATAATGTATCAAAACACAATAATTTTTAATTTGTACAAGTGTATGATTCATTTAAACAATTAAAGAAATCAATGACATCACAAATAGTTTTGTATTTTTCTTTTCAGAACATGTATCATTTTACCAAAAGCGACATCGGGCTTGCATCCGCGTGTTATTCTCATCAGAGCGGGCAGATACGACCCGGAGAAGAACAGTGTTGCAGACATCATGTGCATCTTATATTATATGGTCCAAGTATGTTTACTGCTTCTCCTCAAGGTTGCGTAAAGTAAAAGAAGACATAAATCATTATGCGGCTAAAGTTACCATTCAGAGTTCTTCTGTATCTCATCTGTGAAACTACATTAAGACAACATATAGCGTCAATTAATTTCTAAAATTGTATATCACTTTTTTATAGTTCAATTAACGAAGACCTTAATATATCTAGATTTTTATTAGACCGGTACAATCGAGTACTGGTACGCTCTAGTAATCCAACAATGCAATGCAATTGTTTCAACAGTGGTATTCTAAAATTTACATTTTATTTTATAGATATTGGTAATGGAAGACGACTCTGCTTCAGTGATAGGAACAAAAATAGTCGTGGATTATGAGGGCACGACTCTTAATCACTTAGTGCAAGCCAATGTTACTTTACTCCGGAAGATTGTAGCTGTTAGTCAGGTGAGTCCTGTGAAAGTTAACAATACAAACGACAATTATTTTGCTGATAGAATTATCTATGCGCTCATTATCAAATGCTGATATAGTTTGTATCGAAAAAGCAAAAATAGATTTACTTGGTCGAGCTAACTGAGATTCCATGTCCATAAGTACTGTCGTCAGGTCATACACGTCCCCACCGAGATCGAAGCCTATTCTAAGTTAGGCGTGACTAGAACTTAGTCAACCATGCTGGCCCGGTGCGGGTCAGTTGACCTTAAGTAAAATATAGTACCAAAAACGTCGAGAAACGTAATTTTTTTAAATGTTTAATAGGACTCACTACCTCTCAGACTGAAGGGCAGTCACCATTTGAACGTACCTTCAGGTATAGAAACTATCTTCAAGCTAGTGTCCGCATTTATTAGCGAAAAGGCAAAACAAAGAGTAAGTTTAAACGAATATGTTCATTAACTATTATAGAAATTACCAAACATTGAGGTGGATAGCCATTAATTCAACCCTTGGAATTGTGAATAATAAACAAATAAAAAACTAGAGCTACAGTGATGGTATCTTATTTGGGCCTAAATTCAAAATACCAGACAGATATTTCATTGCCAGTTTTAATCTAAAACATAAGCAATTTATCCGTCCAATTTCTAATTCATAATGTTTAGTAGTTATTTATATGGTTTAAAAATATATATTTTTTATAATAGCTCAAAATACACAAGAGTACAGATGAGTTATTCGAACATATTCCAAAAGATGTAATGCCTCCTGAATACGGAGGAACCGGCGCGACGGTTGCCCAAAATATTGGTAAGTTCACTTGATATCTATAGTACTTTTCAATATTCCACTACGAGATAAAAATGAAAGTAATTATCGTAAATTTATATAAAATATCCAAGTCTATGGACATGGATATTTTTATTTATCTATCTATTATCGTTTTAATTCAACTCACTATGGGTCGATGTTTTTTTTTAGCGCTAAAACCATACATTTTGATCACATAATACCAACGTAATAAAAACTTCTAAAATGAAATAACAGTAATAACTTTAATATAAAATATTTGATATTATTTTTTTAATTAATCCACGTTAGAGTTTCTTAATCGTCGTATATTTTCAGAATACTGGATTGCGAAGATGAAAGAGTACAAGTCTTGGATGGAGGTGGAGGAAAAGCTCGGCACAGACGAGTCCAGACGACTCGGTGCTCTTCCGTCTGACGAGACATCAGACAAGGGATCCTTCAGACAACTTAATATTGATTAATATATTAATGAACAAAGATTTATTTTTAGCAATCATGAAAGTACAACTATGTATACATAAGATGGCACGTTTTACATTTAGTTGCATAAAAAATTAAAACAAATTTTTATCATGTTTCAAGGAATTTTATCGTTGAATGACACTTTCATAATTATTTCGGACAGTTATATATTTCATTGCTATGAAGGACACGTCCGAACTTGATTTGTAAAATGTTGAAATTAATTATTAAAGACAGATTGTCAACTAAAATACGTAATTTGTCAATATAAAGTATTTGTGTATATGTATTTGTATGTGCACAGTATTAAAATTCATTTAAGGAAAATGTGTTTTTTATTATTATGCAGAGAATTGAGATATTTCTCAAAGTGTAAACGTATCAAGGAAAAATGAAGCTGTATGGTTTTAGAGCACAATTTATACTATATTAAATGCATAAAATGTATATTGAAAAATATTAGATTAATCGTTGTAAATTTGTTAACATTATGTTTTACATATAGTAGAAAATTTTATGTGTACTATGTTTGTCTCTGCCTAGCTCAGATACGACAAGGTGAGATCGACTTTCCTAATTAGTCTGTTTTAATTCGCTCTGTCCTATCTTATACGTACTATCTACAGGAGATATTTTATATCCATCGTTTCCTTGGGATATTTCTTTGATTATGGGAGATACAATCACGATCAAATGACATCCAGTCAATAATTTAACAAGCAACTTTGATATTAAGATTCTAAAGATTAGATCTGTGTGTTTATTTATTTTATGGTGAGCATTTTTATTTTATGGATAGCAGCGATATTTATCTATTTATATCTCGCAATCAGTATCTATTTTTATCAATTAATGCCATGAGTCATTTCCTGTATGAGTTTCATGTAAAAAATAAAGCTGTATGACATTATTAGAATCGGTTAAAATGGAGTAAACACGACTACATTCACGTATTTTTAGCCGTTGTTAACTAATTTGTCTCTTGTAAGTTTAAACATTTTACTCATAAAACACTGTAAATAATAAGATTTGGTTGTCTATACGTGCATATTTGATAATTACCAAGTAATTGTAGGAGACCGTGATACCACAGAAAATATCATACAATTGAAATTATTTTTACCAATGTGACAGATAAATGAATGAACAAAAATATATTAACTAGAAAATTACAATAATTGTTAACGACATCACTGGGTAAAAGTACGAGAAGAAGCAAGAAAATGAAGGCCTTTGTGAAGGTCGAACAATGTACTGAAATACGTAAAACTAATTAGCATAACAACAAGGTCTTGTTACGACAAAAACAACGTTGCGTTCCATGTTTATCTGACCCGGTGGGTATAAGTCAAACTAAATTATGATATCTCAATAGCATCCTTGTTTAACTTCCTAACACCTTACCTTATTAGTTTGAATCCTCACCATGGCTATCAATCGGAACCGTCAGCGCCGAAATGGCGAAGATCCATGTATAAAAGTGGATATAAGTACGATAAATGCAAGTACCACTGCAGTGGTGTTCTTGTTCTGTCATACACTTGTGCTCAAATTGCAAAGAAGCTTCCTCAGAATGCATCCTAATTTAATTTTGCATCTTTAAGGATGTTAATATTTTTATTGGTAAAGTTATAAATTGACAAAAATTGATAATGAAATCTCGGTATTATAAATAAATGTTGTGTTTCAGTAGTAATTTAAAGTAGAATATTGCATTATTAATAAAAAAACGTACATCGAAAAATACAAATTTATCTCCTTTATAATTGCAGCTCGAAGCGTTCTTTCCCCTTATCGTGATTAGTGAAAACTGTAGTTTTAATTTGCGTGCTTTAGTTAAGTGCTGATAACGCAAATTATCGCAATGGATCCCTTTCGAAACATGATTCTTTCGTTAACTTCAATCCTCAAGGTTAATCGTAAAGCCGTTGTTGCATAACTATCATAAAATTTTATATATTCACTAATAAAAACCGCTAGAATACGTTGAATATACCTAGAATCTCTTAAAAAACTAAATATTATGTAGATAAAAAGTATGTTTCGTGTTTTATCATAGTTTTATAAGAAATATTTCAAAATGTTAGAATTTATAAAATATAAAGTAAGTTATTTAAGTATCAGAAATGGTTTAAAATACAAAGTGCTTTTAAAATGACTAGCTGTCGCCTGCGACTCTAACCGCACGAAATAAAAAAAAATCTGAATTAGTAGCCTATGTTCTACGTCTATGCCAAATTTAAGCGAAATCTATACAGCCGTTCTCGATATACCTTCAAACAAACATTCATCCATTCAAACATTCGCATTAATATTAGAAAGATAAATTAATTATGATATAAATGTCGATTATAGTCGTCATTTAATTGTCATCGTTAAATAAGACTCGGTTGTTTTAGCTGCTAATATGATGTACGATATAATGCGACGAAAATAGGTTAACCAAACTAATCTTGGTGTGTCAACATTAGTTAACGAAGGCATTCCTAACGCCGCAGCTCGTATACGATATAACTCTAATCAAACATTTATGTATATTTGTTTAGGGAATAATTTCGGTAAAATAACAATATAACAAATATTTATACGTTTGCCAAGAATATTATAAAACCTAGTCTGGCGTTTTATCGCCTTCTTTTTTACACAATTTGCGCAAAGATATTACTTAGTTTAATATTATTCGCTATTCATTTTAGATCGTTAAATATGCATCGAAATTTGCAGATTAAAATTAAAAAAAAATGTATATGAATTTGAAAAAATTACAAAAATATTTATGTACGTGTATGGGCTTCAATGAACAATGCAGTATCGTTCATCGAAATGTATGGGTATTTAACAGTTCGACGCCATGCTTATCAGTAGGACTTTAAACATTTTTATTATGATACCTACACGTGCACGGAGTTCATAAACTTTGTATATGTGCTAGTGACGTCTTTGACGGAAAGATACTAGGAATTAAAAGGTTTATTGTTTATGGATGGAAAAGAAAAATAAAAAAATCTTACCTAAATAATTATCGGTAGATTTTTGAAAATTTGCTTGTTACCATAACATTATGTTGTCTTAACCTCGACTCTGTAAAAGAAATGCAAAGTTTTCATTCAATTACACGTTGCTAACCATTATATAGAAACTCTGGTTAAATACCTGGCAAGTGTAATTATTCCCTATATGATATTACTATCTTATCAGCGGTCATATAAAACGGCGGGTAATAATCGCGCGCCCGCTATTGAACTGGTCGCAGCCAAGCTATTCTGTAAACTTTACAGTACCCGTCATTGCAACAATGCATACATCATGAAGCGATTAGTGTAGTGTTGGCATTGACGCGTTAATTCTACATTTCAGTACAAAATAGCAAATTGTATAGACACGTTCTTATTTGAAAAATAATATCACGATCATCAATTACTCGCACGTTTCTGTCGGTTAATTTAATTAGTATGCTGTTAATCACCAAGTCGACCTACCTTTCCTTAGTTTCAATATTGTCGGTGTACTCGATAGACGCGGCGTTGTGAGGTTGTTATTGTTTATGAGTGCGGAATAAGGTTACATTAAAAAATTAAGGTACGTTTCCACGGATAATTTTTATTCCTATACAAGTAATAAATATTTTTTTCACGTCTTTAGTGTTCCTACTTAGTGTAATTGTAATACTATAAATGGAAATAAAAGTGTAAAAGTGCATAATGTTTACATTTCAGTTTTAAACGAAGTCAATTAAAATGACGGTGAGACCGCTCCCAGATATTTTACAGGAGAAAGCCAAAAAGGAAATAAATGAAAATCCTCGCAGCGTAGACTCTGACTTATCTGCCCTTAAGACATGGCTTCAAAAGCAGCCTCATTTACATAATGTAAATCCATGTAAGTAAAAAAACCTTTGCAAAACCAAAAAAAAAACTATAAATATTTTTTCTACGAGGAACCTATTTTATTTTTTATACTCATTGTAATGTAGGTTTTAGTGTATTACTTTTCTTAACATTTTAGGTCGATAATTTTTTAGTTATGAATGCAATTTTGTGTTCCATTTACTTATAACCTACTTTTTTGTTAAATGTTTAATAGCGCCATCTAGTTTTTTAGAAAGAAACTATACCAGAAGCAATGACAGTTCTACAATGAATTGTAATAGTTTGTCAGTTTATCTATAGTGGTCGCTTTTTACATAATTTTTTCATATTTTAACAAATGTATTATAATTTAAACTATTTAATTTTTTTTCAGCGGATCAATGGTTAGTGGCATTTTTACGTGGTAGTAAATTTAGTTTGGAAAGATGTAAGGAAAAACTGGATATGTATTATACCTTAAGGTCTGTGGTGCCGGAGTTTTTCTCCAACAGGGACCCGCTTGATTTGAAAATACAGGAAATATTAAAATTAGGGTAAGGCCTACTTCTCATATACAAAAAATGCGAATGAAAATGATCATAAAATTGTTTCAATTCAGTGGAAAAGGACAGAGAGGTTTTAAATCGGGGGACTAAAGTTGCTCAAAATGTGATTTTAAAGTTTACCTTATCAAAGTTCTGAATTTACAACTACTTTTCATTTTTAAATCTCTACTTCTTTGAGTTTATGATATGTTATTTTCAGACAGTTAATCATAAACTTTTTTGTATTTACAGAGCTTTCTTACCATTAAGAGAATGTAAGGAGAAAGATGGACCAAGAATATGCATCTTACGTATTGGAGTTTACAATCCATCGAAGTACAATTTGTCGGACCTCTTAAAAGTTGCATTCATGATAACCGAAATAATGATGCTCGAAGATGACAACTTCACTGTGTCTGGGGAGGTATTTAACATAATTCACATTTTATGCTATAACAAGCTGTCGCCTGAGACTGCGTCCGCGCTGCTATACTTAATTAGTAGCCCATATGTTTTTCCAGGCTATTTTCTGCATCTGTACCAAATTTCACGAATATCCATGCAGTCGTTCTGAAGATACCTTAAAAACAAACATCCATCCATCCATCTAAACATTCGCATTTATAATATCAGTAAAATAAGCCAAGTAAATTCGCAGTGACATAGTGACATAGCCATCATTTTGGAAAGAGATAAACTGTCGTATTGAGGATTTAGTAAAAGATAGAAAAGTAATGCCTGTTTAACAAAATAGTGCAAAACTAAAGCTTAGTAAACACAACAGTCATACGAAATATTCATTAAGCTATTTTAATTATTTT